TCTGCAACTTTTGGTACTAAGATTGTCAGCAACTGAAAAATTAGATGGAAGTGAAATCTATTCAAGGAGCTCAAATGAAAGCTGACTTGCTTCATTGCTGGCACCTGGAGCTGACCCCGAGAAAAGGCGCGCCTTCAATGATCCCTGGCGTCCACGGGCTATCGCGGTGTTTTCGCTTCATGGTGCTATACCCACTATAGAGGATTTGGGGGTCCAAAAGGAGGGTCAGGATTTCTTTGGATTTCATATCTCTTCATCACAAGGATGAACTAGATCAACCCGAGTTGATAATGGCGGACTCATCGAGCAACCACTCTGGTTTAATTTTAGCACCCCACTGCGGTGGGAGAAAGCTCGTGTTTCGAAGGTGCTGGGCTAGTGGGACGTTTTCCTACGGAGGGCTCATCGACACCTGAAGCCATCCCAACCTCCCGGGGCGTCCCAATCTCATTTGTCCTGACCAACAAGGACGCTACTAGTACGTAGCTCCTGGCATTACTACTAGGAGCAAGAAGCTACTAGGGGCTCCTGGCCATACTACTAGGAGCAAGGACGCTACTAGGGGCTCTGGCCGTACAAAGGGAGCAAGAACGCTACTAGGGGCTCCTGGCATCGCTAGTAGTAGCAAGAAGCTAGTTTTGAAAGAAGACGCCGGGGCATTGCTGGTCCTTCCTGTCTCTTTTTGGCTGAAGGAAGTCCAAGGCGGTCGCCATATGATTCTTGTGACCCAGACAGCTCTTCAAGTAGTTGGGGCGTTCCAGAAAACACGTTGATGTTCTTCTCTCTATTCTTGGACATGAACAAGGCTTAGAGTCTTACACCTTAACTGAGCTATTCAAACATTTTCACACTCAGAATCGAGCCTGCCATGGCCTGGACAGGCGACAGGCATGAGCGTTGTGAAGCAAAGAGTTCGAGTTCCCAAAGATGTATTTCGACTGCTCTAACTAACTACGAGGGTATTGAAGTCCATCTCCTTACCAGTCTGTTCCAAACATGGGGTCAGCTAAATTGTGAAGCATTCCACCAATTTAAGCATTGCACCAATTTATGTATATAGTCCAGCAGCTATCCTTGGCTGGTGCCGTGATTGGTGAATCATTTGCCACACAAATGCGGCAAACCAGTCAAAGGGTAAACCAAGATGACACCAGGTCACCCAGCCAGCTAGAACTAGAACATGCGTATTGACGCGTTTAGCTGCTTCGACCTGTCTCCTTTCTACCTGGACGCAGAAGCAGCATTTAGTAAGGCACTTGTTCCTAGTAGCTTCTTGTTACTACTAGTAAGGCACCTGTTACTACTAGCGTGGCACTTGTTACTAGTAGCATATGAGCTGTTCAGCATGAAGCTCCACGAGCCAGGACTAGTCATGGCCACCACGCAGAAGCAGCCTGAGGCTCCTGAGGTGAGGGTTTCTTCTTTTTAGATGAACACAGTGACGCGTCTGACTGGGTTGCTCAGTGACCTTTTTTTCCGGGTCATGTGATGTGACTGCTGGTGATGGTCATTTTGACTTCAGGTGTTTCTATAAAAGCGGGTCGGAGAACATTGCAACTTTGGGTGGGGTGTTTCCAGTCCTTGCAGGCTGCGGAGAGCAGCGCAAGCTCGGGCCACAGCTGAGGGGTCAAAGCAGTTCAAGATGGAATCGGTGCATGGAACGATTCCATTCTGCATGAGTTATGCGCAGACTTTTGACGATCTGACGAACCCTGATCATACATTTGTCATCTCTCTTTTTCTGCTCTTAAGCAAACACAAAGTTTTGCTCTCGTGAGAGCACACAGTTCGGCAAATTCTGCCAAAGGCTAAATGCAGCCATTATAGAATGCTTTCTGCCTCCCATACTACTAATCACGAAAGGTAGCTTGAGCTACCTGAGTTCTCCTTGCTTGAGCAAAAATGTATTACAATCAGGAGTTGGGATTGTGCATTGAGTTTGGTTCTAGAGTTGATTCTGTTCGTCGGGGGGGGGGGGGGGGCCCTGGATCAAATCTCCCCTCCGCCGGTTCACGCCGTCATGGACTTTTACCAGGGTTGCTTGTGATTGCCTGCTACCTTTCGTTCACCCCCTCCTCTCTCAAGTGAAGGTCAGCAGACACAAGGTACATCGCGTGCATATTATGCAGAGGCACCAGGATGTACAGATAAAGAAGCTGGGTAAACAGAGAAGAATGCATGGAGCAGTCGAGCTACTATTAGGTTGTGAAAAGTTTTGGATGGGATTATCTTGAATGTGCCATGACAGCAAGGTGTGGTACAGAGCGATGCTGGGGAGGACCCGTGTTTGTTTGCAGATGTTGTGGTAGCTTCATGATATTTGATGGGTGGAGAGCATATAATTTCGATTCATTTGGAATCCCAAAGACTCCTCCGGAGCATCGCTTTGCAAAACAGGAGCAGCAGGAGCAGCAGGAGCCAGTTTCAAGTGGTTTGCTCCTCCGGGTGAAGCAGTTGGAAAAAGATAAGGCAGTGGCGGCAGTCGGCAGTGACTGTGGAATCCTGTCGTTAGGCGATGTTAGGCGGCGTTCAGTTCAGGATCCTACTCTACATGCATATCCAAGCATACCTACATACTATACTATATTCCTCACCTATATATATATATACACACACCTACATACTACTATACCTACATATATATATATATGTACATATTCCCTATAATTATTAGCTGCGTACCACACCCAGAAGGTGAACCATTGACTTCTGACAGAAATATGCTCCAGTGTGCCTGTCGTCGCCACAGACTCCAGTGGCTCACCCGGAGCCACTTTCAGGTCGAGGAGATTTGCATTTTCCAGATAGGCTAAGATTATAAATATGAATAAATATAAGCTAGGTGGCAAGAAGCTACTAGGGACTCCTTGCATCGCTACTAGTAACAAGAGGCTAAGATTAGGGCCTAGATGGGCCACTCCCAGGCGTAGATGTACGGCGACCGGCGCATCGGACCAGGCTGAGCTCCAGCAACGGTTGGACTTCGTAGAAGCTCTACTAGGCCTGGGCCAAGGAGTCTCACGAGTGGACACATCTTGAAAAGATTGAAACGAGCTTTCTTTGGGACCCATTCAAGGTGGAATTCCCTTACGCAGCCGATCACAGAGAGTAGATAGAGTAGTAGGTTGTTTTTTAAAGCCCCACAAGCCGCCAAAGGATCATGACATGGTGGATTCGACTCTACGGTAGTTTTCTTTTACCATTGTTACCATTGTACCATTCTACCTCAAAGAGCTGCAAACGATACATCAAAGAGGTGCTTTTCCAGATGTTTGGTTGGAGGCCATCGTTAGGTTGGAGGCCATCGCTTCATCCGGTTGGAAGGAAAACGTTGCCCTGACAGGTCCGACAGAGGCACAAAGAAAGCTTTTGCAGGAAGGGAGTCCCCTGAAAGGGCCGGAGGGAGCCGAATGGAAGATGTAGGAAGCGTAGGGAGCGTAGTGATCCATCCGACAACTGCGTTGAAGACGGAAGACTATATGATATCATATCATAAGTATCTTGATAAATCTAACGCACTATAAACTTTCACGAAATCACGACTTGGAATGACAAGGCCGGCAACGCGGATCCTCTCTGTTTTTGTTGAGGACACCCGCTGAGTTTTCGACCTTTTTGGCATAAACGCATGACCAGAGTCATCCAGCATCTAGTCACAAGTCTTCACTAGTCTTCACTAGTCATGCATTCTCCACAAAGACACTTGATTGAGGACTTTGTAGGCCCATTAGCCCCTTAATTTCGTAGCGGAGCTTCCTTGGGCTTTCCCGCGCTGTTTTATATGGCCGCTATTTGTGAGGAGAGGCACCTTGCTGCCCGAGCAGCCGCATTGCAGGCAAGGAGTCTCTTCTTTGATAGGTCAAGTCAGTTCGACGAAAAGGAGAACTTCAGACAACTAGTGACTCTAGTGAGATGTAGTGATGGGATAAGGGTCGATTCGATGCCATCTGGATTTTTCAATCTCAGTTTAATCTTGCTCTTGTGGATTTGTCACTTGACTTGCATTCTAGCTTTGCATAGCCTATTTGCTTTGCATGTCTGAGGCCATCCACAGCCTCAGCTTATTGGCCCATCATGAATTAGAGCAGTCTCGGACGAAGACATGAAGCCCTGTAACTTGTATCTTAATCTCTACTTGATCCCTCATTTCATTTATATAATTTTATATATACATCAAGTGGAAAAAGGAATGGACCAGGGTCGGCTTGTTGCGTTGCCATTTTGACAGAGATCCATTCTGGTCATTTGATCCTCTCCGAGTCCTCTCCCAGAGCTGGACCAACTGTTACTGGAAAGCACACGAAATGCCACAGTCATAGTGCCGCATACAGAAATATCACGCGTCGTTCCCTTTGTGTGCCACATCCTGATGGCGCCTGTCTTCGTTGCTGGCAAGACCTCGATCCAGGCATTTGAGTTCGACACAAAGAGCCCCGGCATTCGATCCATGCGGTCTGTGGGAAGAACATGGAAGAACCTTTGGTCCGTGCAGATTCTTGGTGAACTGCGCTGCGCATCTTCTAGCATAAATAGATATAATTAGCACGCTTTCCAAAGTTCAGAGCGCACTATAGATCTCGATCTCAATTTCTCTCTGTCTGCAGACAGTCTGGCTCAAGAGGGCATTTTAAGTTTTTCTTGTAAGCAAACAGCAAAGATGAGCTGCTTCAACGGCTGCTTCGGGTGGTTGCAAGGCGACAAACGACCTGGCTCCCGAGACAACCACCAAAGGGGAAGCTGCCATTGAGTACCGGTGAGCCATCAGAAAGCAAGAGCGCATTCAAGCCTCTTTGATATGCCGTTTGGATGATTTGGTAGGTAGATTGGTTGAATCTAAGAAAACAAAAGCTGAAAAAGATCACAAAACCTCAAACCTCTGGGTCCTGTTTGGAAGAACATCGAAATCAGAACAGCACGGCCCGTCCGGTGGCTCTGTTTCCGGTTTCCGGGTCCACACCGAAAAAAAAGCGACGTGGCTCCGGTTTCCGGTGTCCGGGCAGGTTCCCCAAAGCCAGTGGAGAAGAACCAAGTGGAGTCCCAGTTGACGAATCTCAAGGCATCCGAGGCCAGGGACGAGGTAGTCGGGACGAAGGGCGGCGAAGGACGACGGGCCAGGGACGTCGACCAAACCGGACGTTTTGGGAGATGGAGGTCCCACAGCGCCCCGTCAGACGCCCAGATAGCGTCAAGGCATGGTTTGGTCCTCGGTTCGGGTCCATTCTATTTATTAGTTTCTAATAGCTTCTTGTTACTAGTAGTATGGCCAGGAGCCCCTAGTAGCGTCCTTTGCTCCTAGTAGCGATGCCCTTTGCTCCTAGTAGCGTCCTTGCTTATGTGCCTTGCAGATAGAAAGCTGAATCTGGTAGGCTATGAGACTTGTTTGCCACACGACCTGACAGCGCTGTGTGCTGTCTCAGGGGACTGTATGCTGTGGGGCCGTGGGTGAAACGGCACTGTTGCGCGTTTCACGAACGCAGGTGGGCTGGTTTCACGAACGGCGTACGGGGTACTCGAATTGGATGTAGACGTTGGAGACAGCCTTGTGAGAGCTTGGGTGACTGTAGCGGGGAGTCCTATTGGAAGCCCTTTTGGTCGAATTAACACTGACAGGATCAATGGGATCATAGCCGTAAGATCAAGCCGTGAGCTCTTCAGAAGCAGAGCTTGCTTCAACAGTCAACCAGCGTCTTTTTGCAATTTGTTTATATATACAAACCCTTTTTCCGTTCGATGGTTTCCATTTGCCGGTTGACGATTTGCCTGGCCTGGCCAGGAAGAGAACGGAAACTCTCGTCAAGGATCAAAAGGTTTGACACCCGGACAGTCTGGTGATTCGGATGGGTGAGATTTGCGTATTTGCTGTATTTTAATGGACATCTTATGTATTTGTCAGTCTGTCACAATCTGAATCTGATCAGAATTGTTTGGATGTTTTTACTTTATTTATATTTTTAACTAAGTGTCAACGCCAAGGCCAGAAAAATCTGACAGAGAAAGAAACAGAGAAAGAGAAAGAGAAAGGCACAGAGAAAGAGAAAGAGTGAGAGAGTGAGCGAGGGAGGAGGGAGGGAGGGAGGGAGGGAGGGAGTGAGTGAGTGAGTGAGTGAGAGAGTGAGAGCGAGAGAGAGAGAGAGAGAGTGCCACTCTAAGACGTTCTACTTGTTTGAACCCTGAACTGAAGGCCGGCCAAGCACTGCAAGACCTCCAAAGGTCTTTGTTTGCCAAGGCTTTAAGACTGAGAGTGGCCGATTCCAGACCGAGAGCGGCCGATTCCACTATTCAGTGACAGGTTCCTGGTTTGCAGTCATGTGTAAAGACTGAAGAGGATGTGGACGTTCTGAAACACGTTAGCTTAAGATCCCGTGCTGAATGCTTGTAATGCTTGCTGATTCCGTTGTTGTGACAGACGTATGCAGAATTGTTCAAAGTAATCACCAAACATCCAGGAATGATCCCGTGTGAACGTTGATTTTGCACTGCTCAGTTGAGAGCTTTCTTCTCAAGTCCTCCCAAGGAATGCAGCTTCCAGAGTCTCCTCAACGGCGATCCAGCAAAGGCGTCAAATATTCCAACACTGGCATGCCCCTGTCGCCTGGCGGCAAATCTACGGACTTCAAGGATCTGAAAAGACCTTAGTAAAAGACCATGCAACATCGGCAGGCTAGTTGGGTTGTGCAGGCTGTTGACACCCACAGCCCATTGCCTACAGCGTCCTACAGCAAAACTAGCTAGCCGGTACATGCCAGTACCGTGTTCATCCATGCTTTACTTAGGCGAAAAGTCCCCATACCAAATCCAGGGTGACATGGGCATTCCAGTAAGAACACTCGGAGCCGGTGTCAGCGTGTCAGGTACGACGAGGGGGACGCCAACATTACACCACCGATGAGGACACCGGTACTGGTATCGATGAGGAATCGCACTGAAACGGTCAACTTTTTGGTGAAATGTGACTGTTTCGAGGAAGCCCAGCAACAGCGCCAAGTGGTCGGAAAAGAGTGCCAGTGGCAAATGGGCTGCGAACTCGAACAGTGGCGGCGGCTTCTTCGCCAGACAGAATTCAGCGAGCCAGAACGAGCTGAAGCGCCAGGTGTCGACGTCCGAGAGCAAGAACAAGTGGACAGCCAATGCAAACAACCAGAACGGGAGCTCGAAGCACTTCTCTCTCACAGGTTGGGGCATGCAAGATTTTTTGGGGAGGATTCACCAAACTCGCAATTTGTCTAGCCAAAGCGTGCAACAATGTACTGTATTCATATATATTCTTTTGTGGGGCATCGCAGGCATGCCAATGCCGGAGCCAGACGAGAAGAAGAAGGCGTCATTGAAGAAAATGTACTCAAACACCGGCATGCCACTGCAGTGAATGCACCTTGTCCTGCAGCTGGTTTCGCCTGTGGTCTTCACCAGCCATGACAGTCCCCCCCCGAAGTCAACCGAAGTCGAGATTCTCGCGACGATCAATCTCATCGATGATTGAGGTGATCGGCATCGATGGTGATGATTGAGGCTTCTGAATCTTTCTAGGCAGGCATTTTGCCGAAAAAGCAAGTTCTTCTCCAGGCCTTTGCTCTGGAGACGGTCGCAAAGCTTGTCATTTTAGTAGCCTGATGGAGCATGAAGGACACACATAAATTATCATAAATCGAATCATATTCTATAATGTGTATACTGTTCAATCAACCATACTTGCAAGTAGGTCCGTCTAAGTTCAACGCTGTTCTAGCCTGTAGATGGAATATTGAATAGTATTGATTACATCATACTGGATCCGAAATATGTGTCATGCCACTGAACACACATAATTCATTCTTTCATATTCTCTCTGTTTCTCCCTTTGAAGCTGGCAGATGTTCGTACAGAACGACTGATTCTGACCCCACAAGGGCGAAGCGTCGGTTGAGACACACACGTCCGTCGTGCAGCGTGTTAACAGCAAAACACGTCGTGCAGAGGCGAACCGAGGGTTGTTGTTGCAAAACAATGCAAAACATGCTGTTTCGAACAGTGTGTGTGGCTTTCACCCGAGGGCAAGGCAAGACTCTAAGCAGCGTTGTCAGCCAGAGTGCTTGGACACAACCAGATCTAGGCAACTTGGCACAGTCAGCTGAACGGCTATGAACGGCTCCCTCAAATGCTGAGTCAAAAGGGGGCAAGTCGGAGGCTGTCCATTCGTCCTCGCAGCAGCCGCAGCTCGAGGAATGGACTTGCACGAAATTTGTCTCGCACTGATGAAAGCGGCATTGTCCAAGTGCATCCTGTTCTTCAAAAGCCAGATAGTGCGCTCAGTTGTCATCCAGCCCATATTGTTTCTGAATTTTTCCCGATAAGGCCGCTGTGCTTTGTTTTTCAAGTCTATCTGGTTGAACAACCAGATCCATGACTCAGACATAGACTAGACCCGACGCTCCATGAAAAACAAAGGTCAAATCCGAGCCGTTTGAACATCTGCATGTGGTTGACCTGTCATCATTCTGTCATTCTTCTGGTTCATCCTGGCCGTTCATTCGTTCCGTAGTTTTCCAATGTTGTCCATGTTTCTTGCTGATTTCATACATGACATGGTTTGTAAATGAGTAGGCCAGTAACTCCTGCTAGTCCAGCGGCACATCCTGTCAACGTGTCGGTCAACCTGTCGGTCACCTGCCGGTCATCCGCATGCGGTTTGGACGAAAAGGACTGGTGAACTTACAGAAGTTGGAGATTTGCACGAGAAGGACGGCACAGGCACGGATGGCGCAGATCATCCCGTTCGATCAAGTGCTGGTTTGTGGAAGTGTTTCAGGCAATTAGTGGTCACATGTGGTCAAAAAGGATTTGCTTGCTCAAAGGTCAAGGATAGAACAAACACGAAGGGTGCTGGAGGGTAATTAGGCGGGGCGAGAGGGAAGCGATTTACAATAATTCCGCCCTCTCAGGCACGACCATCCTGGTTGTGTGTCAAGAAGTCATGAGTAAACAGGGCAAATCACACTTGTTAACTTGTCAACCATGTTTGATCATTTTTGTGTGGTAGACAAGACAATGCTTTCTCACTGACTCTTCGGGTTATGGTGTTACATTGATGGATGTTGTCACAACACGTTATAACATGTTATTGTTGGATATATGACATGTTATATGTGAAATGTTCATCCAATATTGTTGTTATAACATGACACTCTTCGTTACGTTATATATATTGTTGGATGTTGGTCAGATCGCCTGGGTTGCTCACCCGAAAAAGCCCGGGCTCGTCGAGGTAGCTTCTTGGCCCTGGGATCCGATGGGCGCTTCCTTTACTCGGTGGCCAAGGAGGGAGCGGCCGACGCTCGGAGCTAGCTGTCAACTGTGCGTGGGCGAAAAAAGGGGGGGCTGTGCTGGTCTTACGCCGCATGAATATCTTCAAAGCCTTTGGAACATGCCTGCTGCTCTGGTTTTATTAATTGTAAATACACGTTGTCAGAATAGGTTCTGTTGATTTCTGTTGCCCGTGGTGATCTCACGGGCGCGTGGAAAGCGCCTCGCAGGGTTTGTCAATCTGGCGAACCTTTCGCAATGCCTGACAGAGTAGATCACACTTCCATTGCACAAATCGCAGAGCATGCGTTTTGTCGACAGATCTGATTTTGGAATCGCCATAACGAACGAATCCTCCGGTTCTCATGAGTTCGAAAGCTGAGGCCTTCAGCGTTGAACCTTCTGGTACCTTGACACACCTCAACACGGTGACTGAGCATCCGATGGACGGCGTCTGAGAGGATGGACGCCGTGGGACATCGCGGGACGCGTTCTGGGTGGTTCGTAGCGTCCTTGCTCCTAGTCGCGATGACCTTTGCTCCTAGTAGCGTCCTTGCTATGGCCAGCAGCCCCATGTAGCCTAGTAGCTTCTTGTTACTAGTAATATGAGACATTCTCTCAATGCATTCACGTTTCTTCCCATTTCCGAGGGTCGTCGGGGTTGAGTATTCGATGCACAGCCATGCCCTCCTTTCATGGGCCCCTGTCGTCCGCCTGTTTGGGAATCAGCAAAAAGATTCGTGTAAGCCTCTCGCAGAAGTCTTTCGCAACGTTTGAAGCCCAATAATTTGCAGCTCTCGGAAAAAGATCCAATAGTGAGAGATGGATGCTGCTCAGGTGAAATGTGATGTCTCAGGCGGGAAGAGTGAGCTTCCACTGTTCTTTGCTTCCTGTAGCGGCTTTGAGTTGTTAGTAACGGTTTGGGGGAAGCGATCTTGTTTTAGAATTCCAATGAACCTGGTCGCCTCAGTCCCTGGTGAGGCGGTGCCCATGTGGCTGTGGCCTATGCAGGGTCTGCTGGCATGGTCCTTACCTCAGCAGTTGACCAACGTGTGACACGCCACATCCCCTGATATTCTGTAAAGTAGGTCATCAGCGCGGCCTACCATGGTGGTGGAGTGAACCTGCTGAAAATCAAGCCGGATGGAAGCCTGGGGGAGGCAGAATCACATTCCAAGAGATGCACAAAAAGACATGAACACAACAAACAGAGGCATGTAACTTTCACCTTAGTTGGAGGCCGTCGCTCTTAGGTTGGAGGCCATTGCTATTAAATTGGAGTAATTTTAACCTTCGCTTCAGAAGATTAAATTGTCCCTCTCATTTGAGACAGGGAGAACGGTACCCTTTTCACGACCTGCATGATGTTGTATTTCGACCATTTCAATCCGGTCGTTTTGCCACAGATGGTGGTGAAATCTACACACATGCATATATTGTGTGGATCCTGATATCGTCAGCGGTAGACATTCGAGTTGAAATTGGGAAGCGTGGCCAGGCCTCCTCCATCTTGCACAAGGGCGAGGGTGAGGCTCTGGAACTCCCCACTGGGCATGTCAGCTGTGTCAGCCAAGTGCTTTTCCGTCGCGTTCAGCCAACCCTACGCGGTGTCATGCAGGCACATCCTCACTCCTGTTTGATTGACGAGAGAGGAAAGTATGGTTTGATCTCCGATCTTGGCCTGGACAGAATCTATGCCACTTGGATGTTCGTTAAGTCTGGTTGTATCAATATTGTTAATTATTATATACACACCCGCAGACCAGCTGTGCAAAATATTTTTCCTCTACAACCCAGTGGGTTTGGTGGTCTATGTTAATCTGCAGGAGGGTACCCCTTGGGGAAGGTGTTGCCGAAAGCAATGGATAGAGCTCATGATTCTTTCAGTTCTTTGTGCTAGTGGACATCCAAGCTGCCAACATTGGAGAACTGCCTGGCAAGCTGTGTTGTGTTTTGTTCTGTCCTTCAGACGGGCAAATCCTGCTCTCAGAGTGGTGGCGGATTTGGCGGTGGCGGCGGTCGGCTGCACTTGCAACACGCAGGTCTACCGTTTGGATGTTGCTGCTGGAGCTTTGATTGAGGAAGAGGTTCTGAGTACTGCTGCCAAAGCTGGGCCCAGACATATGTGTTACCTGGCTGAGTGGATATTGAGTTGTCTGATACCTCCCCTCCCCTGGATTGCCCTGGTGTCTTTCTTTTTGCTATTCAAAGAGTCAATCTAGTCTGATGACATCGGTTTCGTGGAACGTTGGTCAAGATGCTCACCTGTTGAGAAACTCAGGTTTTCATCCCAAGGGCCGGTTTGTGCAACATGGCAGACACTTTTGGAGGGTCAGCCGGACTGGTCGACAGGGCCATGTTGCTTGCACCATGAGCCGAAGGGGCGATGATGAAGTGACTAGCCATTGCATTGAGGTATGGCATCAATGAGCTGGACTGCACTATCAATGTGTACGCCTTTCGCAAGGAAGTCTTCCAGTTGGCACTGCATGAGCCGACATAGTGAGGTGAAGCCAGCAGTTACTGTAGTCAGACCTCAGACTCAAGATAGAAAACCCACAGGCTGCTGTAAAAGCTCAAGCTCCTTGTGTAAAATCTTGTAAAGTTGTAGGTCATTCAAAATTGCTCATAGTAATTCATAGTACATTGACCTCTTTAAACTCCTTTCCTGGCCGCAACGCTGGAGCGTCAGGACGATGCAATTCTTGGCCCAATCTTGCAGACTGTGTCCACTTTGCCAGAAGGCAGGCAACACATTTCTCGTTCAAGCATGTTTCAACCTTGGAGCGGTATATTGTTGCACGACTCTTGATGGGGCTTTTGAAATCTTTTTCAACACAGTGTGCCATAGTGTGCCAACCCTAAACGGCTCACTTGGGTTTGATCGATGCCTTCAGGTTACAACAACCATGATCATGGCAATGCCAAGAATGTGAAAGGCGATCCAGCATCTGGCCCGAACCGCCCGGATCAAACGAATGCCACTGCAGATATTCACATCTCTCCTGACGGCAGATTCCTGAAGCTCGGCTGCAGGTTCGATTCTTATTTCATCAGTTCATTTTTGGGCTCCTTTGCTCCAGCCTCCGCGGCCTTCGCAGCCTTCCCTAGAGTTACTGCGACAATAAGCTCCGAGAGAAGAACAATCCGAGATACAAGAAAAAAGATATGACGAGAAAGTAAGGCCGCAAGGCCTAGCTCACTTTTGTTTGTTTCTTCCTTCTATATACTTTCTTTTGCATTTCGCCATTCGCCGCTTGTGCGGCTTGTTGGCTCTTTGTACCGATGCTGTTCGTCCAGGTATGGCTCCAACCGTGGTCACGATAGTTTGGTATGTTTCAGCATTGCCAGAGATGGCTTGCTCAAGCTGGTGGGCTTTACCTATACTGGAGGCAGAAAACATCTTTGCAACTGTGATTTGAGCATGCCACTTCAGAGTTTCACGGCTGTTTCCACTTTTTCCTTTTCATTCAGACACCCTTGGATTGCTGCGGCCTTGCTCGCTTTACACAGGGGAGCACCCTCGGAACTTCAGCATTCATCCATCTGGAAACTGGATCTTGGTGGCCAACCAGGAGACTTGATAGTGTCGTTAATACCTTTATGCCTGCTATATATATATATATTCTGCTTTATCTTCAGCTTGTATTTGTGAACTCAAGAGAAACAAACACAAGGGATCTCAGGCAAAAGTATGGATCGACAGGTATTTTCGGAGAGGGAGTGAAGGGTTGCCTACCTCCTGAGGACAGCGACAACGTGGTGGTTTTTCGACGGGACCGACGCTCGGGGGAGCTTGAAGATTCTGGCAAAAGAGTGAACATGAAGACAGCCAGGCAGGTAAAAGTGAGTTTTGGGTTTTGAAAGCGGAGTTTTCATGTTTTCCCTTTTTGCGTGCCTCTTGCAGATGAGTCATTGGGCCTCATGCTTGACAGATAGTATATACTTACACACAAAATAATGCATATACGATTATATAGATATAATAATTGAATATAATTGATCTACTGTAATACTAACACATATATTATGTATATTTTCACTTGTTGCACCTGGTTCAATAATGCTTTTCCCAAGGGTTATTACTCCTTTGAACGGGTGCCTTTGCAGTGGTAGGGTTTGCTTGTCTCCGGCTCCGGCTGTCTCCGTTTGCCTCCAGCTGTCTTCGGTTTTGCTGGGTTGCTTGAGACTGGTTTGTGCGGTCTCAGGCTGTGTGATGAGACGCCTCTAGTGGCATTCGTTCAGCACAAGAGCTTAGTTAGACTGACTGACAAAAAGCGACCCATACCCCAAAAAGGCCGATGTTCTTTGGCGGTTTGTTTTTCCTGTTGGTTTACGCTGGACTTTATTTTCGATACCTGGTTCAATGCCTTTCCCACGCCGTCCCCAAAGTCAAGATTCAAGTTGACTACAGAGAAATGGGGCTCCAGGCTCCAGGGCTCCAGCCTCATAAAACGTGCTTCATTTTGTCAAGGTGCATCGCTCGTTGCTAGTAGTAACAGGTGCATCGCTAGTAGTAACAGGTGCCTTACTAGTAGTAACAAGAAGCTACTAGGAACAATAAGCTTCTAGTAACAGGTGCACCTCTGGTCTTTTCAAACCTTGGAAGGGTCCAGTGCTGTTCCAGGGGAGTAGTTCCACGTGCTGCTGTTCCACACACACACACCCGCTATATTCCGACCCGCACCGCAACACCTTCCCTAGGTAGCCTCATAATTTGTACATGTTTGCAATGCATTAACAAATATTGTTTCCTTTTTCCCGAAAGCATTGCGAAGGGTTCTTCCGGAAAATCTCTTGAACACTGACACTTCTACACTTACACTTGAACACTACACACACTTACACTTGAACACTTACACTTCTACACGCACACTTGAACACTACATACACTGACACTTGAAGACTTACACTTCTACACTTACACTTGAACACTTACACTTCTATACTCACAATGGCACAGAAGTATCCAAGTGAACGTTTTGTAAGTGAAAGTATGCAAGTGTAAGTATCCCATTGTAAGTGTAAGAGTGAAAGCATCCAAGTGCAAGTATGCAAGTGTAAGTATCCCAGTGCAAGTATGCAAGTGTGAGTATTGAAAACTTTCACGGGAGATATCCTAATGAAAAACATTTCCCCACTTTATAAATTCTCTTTAAAGGCGGAGGGTGGAGGCGAGAGTGCGACTTGTGCCATGCGCGCGCAGCCCTCTGCGGAGATCGTGCGGGTCGAGCGCGCGAAATTGCTAGTACAACTGTAGTACGTGGAGTATCTGGGGAGCTGGAAGATGAGAACTGGCGACTTTGTAGTACAACCTTAGCACGCGGAGTATCTGGGGAGCTGAAAGACCAGAACTGGCGACTTTGTAGTGCAACTGTAGTACGCGGAGTAGCTGGGGAGCTGGAAGATGGCGACTCTGTGGGCTTGGGAGACCTGCGCGCTACTTGGTTCACTATATCTAGAGTGAAGAACTTCACCACTTGCCCTTACCAGCAGCTCGAATGCTCGCGACCTTGGGCGGAGCTGTCACTGCTTGCCCGCCGGTGAGGGCGTTACCATAGATACATAGAAAGACATAGAAAGACACAGACATAGATACACACACAGACAGGGACTCATACACACAGACATAGATACACACACACAGAGACCCACACACTGCCTCAACACACTCGACCTAACACTTCACACTGAACACTTAACACATAACTCACACTCTGACTTCATACGTGATGAAAAATGCTTTCGGGCCACTCGTCGCTTAGTTATTTTTCAGCATGCTTTATAACTTACTCAAGGAGCTACCAAATGATTCTGCCGGGCGCTATACTCCTGCAGCTCACCTCGAAGTCTTTGTTGAGAAGAAAAACATGCAGGCCTTTGCAAATGTGCCCTCTTGCAGTCAGACAGCCCCTATCTCTGTCACTCAGACTTAAGCTCACCCACTCTACTCACCTCCGAGAATGACATGCTTGGGATGCTCTCACTGACCCCAATCTTCGCATCAGGTGCATTCTTTGGGGCAATCCGCGGAGGAAATTGAGAAAACCCACCTGGCACACTGTGGCTGATTTGACTCCAGAGCAAAAGGCCCAACCAGTTGTTTGTCATACTGAGTGCAAAAGTAGATGCCCATAGCCCGTATAGCCCATAGATGTTTCTTGATGAAACCCTCTGTGAGCATCTTTTTCTTTTGAACACCCGCCTAAAAGCGAATAGAACCCAATAGCAAATAATAGCAATGGCCTCCAACCTAATAGCGATGGCCTCCATAGATGTTTCGTTTCGGTTTTTGGACGTTTTGTGTTGATCTTTTGCCTTGTGTGTCAAACATGGTCTGCAGCACCTCGCAGGGAGTCAACCTCTATGTGAAGGTTGCGGCTTGGGCTGCAGGTCGATCGACTGCCTTGTAGGGCTGCGTGTGGTCATCACAGTGGATTGATGTCCATGGCCGACATGTCCTGAGGTCAAAGTGCTGAGTGTGGGAGACTCAGGCTGGCGCAAGACGTTGCTCCGATTGCTGTTTGATTGAAGGCCCAGATGGTTCATATATGTTCATATTATATTTTCTAAGGGAAAGTTGGGCAGCAGACAGCAGATGTGAAATGCTATTTGATCGCATAATCCAAAACACGCGCAACAAACTTGCAAGTTCCGGGTCCTAGTGCTCCTAGCTTTGAGCAGTCGAATTGCTTGGGGAGAACGTGCAACTAGGGTTAGTAACCTGCATTAAGCATCATCAAGCTATCACTCCAAAGGTCTTGGCTTTTGGCGACAGCGTATTGCATTGGAGGATGGTCAGGCCGCTAGGTGAGGGATGGTCTTAACGGGTAGCAGCCTGCTGTGGCCGAACGCTGCACGGGGAATGGGATTGACACCGGAATGATGTGTGGTCTCTTCTGCCAAACAAATTAGAACAGAGAAACAAGGATACCTCGATGGAAGTTACAATGCTTTGCACTAGGTCACAAAGGGACAACAGACGTAAGAACTAGCAAACACTGTACACCATCTAGACATGTGACGATGTGTGCAAACACAAACTTGAGAAAATAGTGCGCGGCGCACAGCAGAACCAGGTTGGCCTGAGGTGTAGGTGAAATGCAGCTGGATGCAATAAGGATGCTCCAAAAGCTTCTGAAGATTTGGAAATCAACGCTCAAGAAGGGCAAATCCGAGACTTCACCTGCAACGGCCTGGACAATCTACAGGCAGAAGGTAGTTACGCAACGCCACAAGCATTTGCAGAGACACAGAGGTGCAGCTTCGTTACGACAGGAACCCACGATGGGCCTGTGCCATCTGGTGCCCCATTGTGCGTGCATTGTGCCCCAAGCTGCAGCCTTTTAGGTAAACGCCTAGCCTTTTCAGAGTCAAATAGCGGACCCATGACTATCTTGACTCCATGGTTTGCACACAAACTCTGACATTGGTTTGCTGTTAACTCAATTCACACGTTGAGAAGGAAGGCGAGGGAAACGCAAGGTGAAAGGGTCAGCGCACTTGTATTGTTTGAACAAAGTGTTGACATGTCTGCGGTGGCGAACTTCGACGCGGCTCAGCTGCAGTGCAAAAGGTAGGAGAAAAGGTTTGAGGGACGTGTCATGAAGAACCATGAATCAAACCGTGGAAGCGTAGGGTAACAGCTTGTGAGAGAACGAGCAGGTACACGGAAGTGATCAGCTTCCGCTTCCTAGGATCTTGCAAAGAGCTTCGTTGGGCAGAGCCTTGCAAGTCCTCTCTGCCCCCCTGCTTGGAAACATTGGACCCCTTAGGTGCAGGGGTTGACGCACACACACGGTGCCGCTTTGCGGCGCTCGTGCGAACGACCTGAGTAGGCGCCTAAAAAGCCTTAGAAACAAAAGAAAGAAACGCAGAAAGAGCAGCGCCAAGAGGGCAAGAGAGAAAGATAGGTGTAGAAAAAAGGTGAATACTTAGCCCTTGACTGGGCAGGGAAACGAGCCTCAAGAACAACCTAAAAAGCCTGAGAAAAAGCGCAAGAAACGACCGAAAGCGTAAGAAAGAAGGGGGGGGCAGGGAGGGGGTGTATGTAGCGTGTGTGTGTCCGTGTGTGTATGACTACTTAGCGCTCTAGAGTCACTGACTACTTAGCCGAGGCGAATTAAATGCAATAGTTAGGGAGCGGGACTTTAGTCTTACACCGCCCGGGTAGAGAGGACTAGAACAGGAACAACAAAGGGAAAGGCACCGACACACAAGTGTGTCGAGTACCATTTCCCTGTGTTGCCCTAATTAGGCGGGGAGTAGAACTCGGCGGGGGGGGGGGAAGGGGAAACATGCCTGACCTCAAGTGGAATTCCGTTTTTTAGCCCGGCGGCTATGGTTGTTCACCGTGAAAGCCCGGCGGCTCTTTATTCAGACAATTCAGTAGTAGTGAAAGTGATCCACGGTGAAAGGACGAAGATTCAGGAAAACGATTTCCGGTATGAAAACGGCGCCTCCTTGCGGAGGATCACACCCAGCACCCAAGTGGGACGGCTGAGCGGTTCACACTCTGACATTGGTTTGCTGTTAACTCAATTCCCACGTTGAGAAGGAAGGTGAGGGAAACGCAAGGTGAAAGGGTCAGCGCACTTGTATTGTTTGAACAAAGTGTTGACATGTCTGCGGTGGCGAACTTCGACGCGGCTCAGCTGCAGTGCAAAAGGTAGGAGAAAAGGTTTGAGGGACGTATCATGAAGAACCATGAATCAAACCGTGGAAGAGTAGGGTAACAGCTTGTGAGAGAATGAGCAGGTACACGGAAGTGATCAGCTTCCGCTTCCTAGGATCTTGCAAAGAGCTTCGTTGGGCAGAGCCTTGCAAGTCCTCTCTGCCCCCCTGCTTGGAAACATTGGAACCCTTAGGTACAGGGGTTGACACACACACACACACTCTGTGTTTAGGCACTGTGAACGATGTGGTGCACCCAGGATGTGAACGAGGTGGTCCTGGGTGATGCGACTGGAGTGGTGACTCTCCGACCTCGGGAGGAACAAGTGCAAAGCTGCGTGGAAGGTGTGGACCTAGGGAGGTCGACCTCTCACATAAGTTTTTGGTTAAGGGAACAACCAAAGAACGAGGTTTTTTTGTTTTTTGTTTTGGTACCTCAGCATATCTAGCGGCATAACCAAATGTTTTTAGCGACTTAACCCATAGGTGAGTCATCTTAAGCAATATCCAACTTGGCCCTGAGAAGATTTGCACGAAGAATGCAATAGGCAATAGGAATTCAGGCATGATGAGAGGAGATCGTCTCAACAACTTGATGGCTGGAAAAAAACAGAAAAATTGCTATATTATATAATAGACTGTGATTGCAAGCAAGTCTTATATTCATTGACAACTCTTCATTGTCATGAGGCTCTATTCTTCGCATCCAGAATGCCAACATCCGCATGGTGGCCAACCATATTCGGCTGGAGGCTCTGACAGAATGCCCGGGGCGTGATGCTGCCTTTGATGGCCCTGAATGGCTCAAGTCGCTAAACGGTGTTCAAGGAATCCCCCACAGGTGTTGAGGATAACAGGATAGCAATGGTGAACATCTGGTCCATTTGCTGCAGGTAAGCAAGTGGGGAGTGTTGAAAGCAGACGAGCACGAGGACTTCGCAGCTTGGTCATTCAGCAAATCTGAACATGTTTGACTCGACTGAGAATGATGGGCGCATTTGTCCGAAGGACCATTGGGATCAATGTAGACTAGTGCTCGACTTCAGTTTTCCTACACATTTGCACATCTAAGGAGCCTTGCACCAGCAATGATATCTCCGCGGTGGAATACGAGTTGAAATAAGGACTTGGGTGGTGCTTTGCCTTTAGGTCCTTAGGTCTTAGGTAGAAAGACGTTTTGACACAGGTTAGATTCCTCATGCCAGGAGCATAACATTGTCGAGCAGCAAGAATCACTGCCACAAAAAGCGGATCTCAGCGAGAGAAACATATTTCTTCATGACTAGCAAAAGGAACTTAATAGCGATGCGGCGATGCATCCGAGTAGCGGTGGCCTCCAACCTAATAGCGATGGCCTCCCACATGCATAAATGTTCAAGGAAGTGAACCAGTTTCCTTCACGAGTGCTGCTTTTTGAATACAACAGTGCATCACATACACAAGCTTGTAAAAGTCTCAGTCGGCTCATTTTGCAGTTGGCTTTCAGTGGGTTTGCTTATTTGCATCATGTGGTTCCTTAGCTTCCGGAGTTTTGGCAGGCAAAGTGGCGTGGAGCATGCCTGCCGACCAAGGCATTGGGTCGATTTGAGTTGAAAGCAGAAGTTTTAAATCGCTAAGAGCCTGGTGAGCTTGATCGGAATGTTGTTTCTAAGCTGGAGCTAGTTAATGCATGGACCACGAATAATTAGAAACATGCTGCAAGTGGTTGAAAAGAAGGTCACCAGTTGAAGCCGGTTGAGACTTGAGACTGGCATGAAACACATGTCATCAAGCGCAGATGGCTGGCCGCGTTGATGAGATGCTCCTTTTCTCGCGTGGCTTATCCGAACGAGACGCTGGTCTGCTGCAGGACCGCACACTGTAGACTTGCTGTACTGTACTAGCAGTACTGGGGATGGCCCAACACTGGAGTCCGTCGATGGACAAGAGAAGTGACACTTCTAAATGTTTGGTGGAATCTGCGAGGTTTGGTTGTGGTATGTTGTGGTTGATTGTTCAAATATTTTTTTGCGTGCGCAGGGCGGTTGCTTGCCAGACTCTGAGGGCATTTTACAGGATGTGGGGCGGCCCAGAGTTTCTTTTCCTCCAAGTTGCGATCTTTCGACAGGCATGCCGACGAAACGAAGGCGTCGTTTGAGACATTTGAGGGAAGAACTTCGTGTGCAAGTATTCAAATTGTATAAGACATTTTTTGTGTGTTTTGTTATGCTTCTCTTAAAGCACAGGTCATCCGTGCTTCTCTTGGTCACATTGGATGCTTCTCCGAGGTAAGTCTGCTTGGGGATCCAAGCTTCCATCCGTGCCCAGCAGACGCATTACAACGGAAACTGAGGGTTACCGGTCTGGAGAGACGGAGCTTTGTGATGCTTTCGGTGGTTCAGCAAGCAATTCGCTAAAGAGAGGCATGCCTCGTTTGCAATGTTCAATCCCCAGCGGAGAACTTGTCTTTTTCTTCGATTTTATCTTCTTTGAGATCCTTACTCTACTCTCTTTGTTGAATCAAACCTTCTTGACTTGTTTGTGTTCTCCATTCTTTTCCTGTTCTTAATCTCGCCTTGCTGCTCTTCATCGCTGTACTTGGCCTTGTGCTCCGGTGCGCAGCTGCCCTGGTACTTGTTGTGTACCTCAGGGGCCCCAGCGCTAGCTACATTTTCAGACAGAACATGAAGCAACCATTTGTAAGGTATTGCAGGAGAACGATGGAGGAACTCAGGAGACCCATTTCATTGATGAAAAACATAGCAATATTTTTCTGCTGGCGAGTGCGCGGGCTACTGACAATGAGAATCCATGAGCCAATTGCCAACAACCACGAGCGTGTGCAATCCGAAAGTGTGCTCTAAGCCGCTTGTTTGATTTCTCGCCTGTCAATTACTGTAGGTTTGAAAAATATAAAAGGTATCCATTCTGCTCACCTCCGGTTCCGCACTCCGAGCTCGGCTCGGTGCAGTGTTTCGGCTCGAGCACTCCCCGTCGCCGTCGCCGCTTGATAGAGCTTCGATTCTCGGGCGATGAGGGCATCGATTCAGTGCTCGGAGGGGCGATCAGGAAACTCCAAGCTTCTTGACACGGAGGCTCAGCTGCAAAGGGAGTCTGGCGCAGATCGGTTGCGATCTGCCTGCGATCTGAGATCGATAAACATTGGTAAGATGATATCAATACAGCCAAGGGCTCTGTGGGGCCTGTGGTGCGCCAAAGGTGAGGGAGGATGAGGGAAGTGTGAATCGAAAGCAGGCCATTGGCTGCATAATTGGGATCCACCGGCCACATTTTGTCGTTGTTAGTTGTCGCATTCATGACAAAGCTCCTTCATGATGGATTGACGTATTCAATGGGTCCGTGGGTCAATGACGTATTGACTCTTAAGGAAGAGGTTTGCCACCGCCGGGGCAAAGAGCTGGCAGAGGCTCGGAGGGCTGTTGCGATCTTCCTCGAGAACAATCGCTTCGACCCGAGCAATACCAACTCAAAGCGTGGTTGGATGGTGACTTATCCGCTGCATGAGGCTCCCTGTCCAAATGGTGCGACGCATAGTGGTTGGATGATCTTGGTTTAGCCCTCACGCCGTTGGACTTGACTCAAAACTGTTTAAGACCAGGGTTAAGGCGGTTAAGGAGCTTTCGCCAAGGCCAAGGTGACAAATAAGCTGCCACGCACTCGAGGCTGTAAAGCAGAAAAATGCTTATATCGTCTCCAAGCTCTTACTGTTCGGAGCAGACCTCAAGGCGAAGGATATTTGGGGCCGCACGGCATGCGATTATGCAGGACAGGAAATCCTTTTCCAGGCTTCACTGAACCCGAACATGACAGAGGGATGCATGGATCATCCTTTAGTTGCAGGAGCGCAGCAAGACATCATGCGGATCTTGCAGAAACACGCCGCCTGGAAGATGTTAAGGACTTGCCAGGTAGAGCAGTCTACACACTTGTGATAGTTACGTTTTGTAGCGGAAGTGTGAGGCTTCTCCAATCAGCTTCTACAAATCTTCAATACTGAGGCCGACTACTACCGGTCACCAGATGTGCGACCTTCAGGGTACAAGTGGCAGTCTTGTCCTCCTCCACGGGGTTTTGAGGAGTTCTTTGCCAAGCTTGAAGCAGACCCATTGGTCCAAGTCCCCAGCTGTGAAGCAGAATGGTTGAAAATCCGTGGGCCCAAAAAGCTTCGAGTCTGCGACTTTGGAGCAGACTGCTAATGATGCATTTGCATGATGCTGGGGATGTGATGGTTTGGCAGTTTGGATGCTTGCAAGCCGGCAGCCGCTAATTTTGAGACACATTGTGGCTGTAGGTTTGCCGCACAGTTTAAAGGTTGCTGACCACAGAATCAGGTTCCTGATCTTGCCAAGTCCAGGCAAGGTTCAAAAGTCTGTGATGGTAAAGTAGGAAACCCTAGGTTTTGCAGCGATCGAATGATTTGAGACATGCAATTAGTATGCAATTAGTGGCGTTTTGCCACTGCGCAGTTGGCACTGCACGAGGTTCACAAGTTCCCCCGGCAAAGAGCTTACAGTTCCACAGAGCAGCTTTGAGCCTTTAAATTTCAGACGAACCCTGAAGGAGCGAGGGAGGAGATAGGATTGAAAGGTTCGAGCTGTCCACCTCTTGTTGTATCACCATAAAAGGACCTTTCTGCAGGAACTTGTGAACACGGGAACGGGCCCGGGATGGACACTCTCACACCTCGCAACAATTTTGTTACCACTTGTATTGGCCAAACATATTGTGTCGATCTATATATCGGTTTGTATCGTACTTATCCAAATTGCCCTATCTACCTGCCTTTGCCCTATCCTGTCCATCCAGTTCTGTCATCAGCGAACGGTGCAAACTGATGTCATCAGACGTACATAGTATCATAGTCTCATGCAGCAAATGCAACCTAAGAACGGAGAGGCTCCACTAGATGCCCTTACTTAACTTGCAGACTCGGGACAGGTGGATCCTGGCGGAGTTTCATGAGCAAGAGCTGGGATCGCTCTAGATTCTAGATCACTTCGCGACAATCCACTTTTCTATATCCGGACCATCCTGCAAATGTATGCATGAGAGAGGACTTCATGAGATTGGCCGAGATGTCAAGGATCTCAGTTCTAGCGACCTGCACGGCCCCACATTTGGGAGCGGTGTGCTTCACAAAGTCTTTGGCACCCAAACGGCAGGTCTCGACTGCCTACCGGTTTCAAGCCTTGACATTCAAGCTGTTCATCCGGTCTTTGAGGCCACAAAAGAATTCAGAACCTCCAATGCATAGTTTCAGTTTGAGTGAGCAGTGTTGACAAGCTGAGAAGTTTGAAGCCTTGCTTTAATTTCAATCATGTGACGCTGCCAGCGCGATTTAGAGATGAGGTACACAGCTCATTCGACAGCCAAGAGCCTGACACAACATTCTATCAGCATGTATCAGCTTATGATTTGTTAACACTGCTCAATTTCGGTTTGAATGCAAGCCGCCTGGCATCATTGTGGGCAGTGACTGGAGTGAACGCTTCCTTTGCTATTGCCCGATGCCTTTCGGCGGTGCAGATCTCTCGAAGCCCTCGGAATTCAGAGATCGAATGATTTTGAGACCTCCAACTGGTATCAACTTGTGGCGTCCTGCCATTGCCGCTGCTACGCCAAATGGCCTCGCAGTGGGTTCACAAGTTCCCCCCTTTCATCATGTTCTATCCAGGTTCTTTTTCATGAACTTGTGAACTTTGAGCTGGCCCATACCTGGATATGTCGCTTTGAATTGTCACCCGTCACCCGAAAGGGCATCTCAATCTGGAGCTTTTGAAAGCTTTGCGAAGGTGTTTCCTGTCCAGAGCAAAATTCAGTTAGCTTTTGAAAGACGAGGCCTGCATATAAGTACATTTCAGTGCTTCATGAGACATGCTAAACCTCTACACACATAGAGGAGCAGTTAAGACTCGACACCAGAGATACTTATTTTGCTGGGTTTGGCCAAGGTAGACTTTGCATAGCTTCGCAATTTAAAAGCAGAATTGACATCTATTCTGAGGGAATCTGTGGGCGTGCGGCGGGTGTCGTTTGTAACCTGCTCAACCTTGGATTCCTCTTAGGAGTTTCAAGCCTTGACATTCAAGCTGTTCATCCGGTCTTTGAGGCCACAAAAGAATTCAGAACCTCCAATGCATAGTTTCAGTTTGAGTGAGCAGTGTTGACAAGCTGAGAAGTTTGAAGCCTTGCTTTAATTTCAATCATGTGACGCTGCCAGTGCGATTTAGAGATATGAGGTACACAGCTCATTCGACGGCCAAGAGCCTGACACAACATTCTATCAGCATGTATCAGCTTATGATTTGTTAACACTGCTCAGTTTCGGTTTGAATGCAAGCAGCCTGGCATCATTGTGGGCAGTGACTGGAGTGAACACTTCCTTTGCTATTGCCCGATGCCTTTCGGCGGTGCAGATCTCTCGAAGCCCTCGGAATTCAGAGATCGAATGATTTTGAGACCTCCAACTGGTATTAACTTGTGGCGTCCTGCCATTGCCGCTGCTACGCCAAATGGCCTCGCAGTGGGTTCACAAGTTCCCTGGATTGACCAGATTCTTTTGTGGGAACGAACGTGACTGTGATTTTGTGGAGTGGTCGAGTCGAGGCTGTTTTTGATGTGTGCCACAAGATAGACAGCTCGTAAAGATGCCTCTGACTCAGACTGAAGTTCAGCTCCGCCTAGCCTTGGGTGGCAAAAGCCAACCGAAAAAGCTTGGAAGGGGTCAGCCAGGCTCACAAACCCCCTCATCAACGTTGCCACCGCTTGTAGATGCCGAAAAGCTCGGAGGCTCACCTGTCTCCAGGTACCATTCTCAGACAGGAGAGCCGAAGCTGCAACCTCAGGTTCAAGCTATCACAGAAAAAACAATGACATTTCAAAAAGAATCGAATTCACCGTTGAACCGATTCTGCCATCGAATGTCTTCCGCAGCTGCGATCGATTCGGCTCGCAGATTCGGATCGCTGAGGTGGCAGGCCCGGGGCGGCCTCTTGCGGCTCTCTTTGGAGGAAGTAAGCCAACGCTTTGGCGAGGACATGAGACTCTCATGACATGAGACTCTCGTGTCGGTCCAAACGTAGAGGACATGAATGGACATGAGATATGAAACACCTTGAAACACCTGACATGTTTTCTTGTGATCGTTGATCCCAGGCAGTCAATTCCTATCAATTCCTTTTGTGTTAATTTTTGAATGGACATCTGGGATCTTTGAAGGTGTCGAAAGAGGAGCGGAAGTCACGTCCTTTTCTGTGGGGACTGTGGGTTGCACACCTCATCTCCAAGAATTAATGGATCAGAACGAGGAAGCCTATTTCCCTGGGCTACACCCATGAAAATGGGCTCCCCAACAATCACTGTAAAGAGGAAAAGCTAAGAAGTCGCTGCAGGTGGAGTAGGGCCCAAACGATACCGACTCTTTGCTGAAGGAAATCGCCCACGATGTGGTGCGATGTGCCAAAGAGTTGGATAAGCCCATAACTCAGCGATGCTCTTCACATCTCTTCACAGTCTGAATGGAACTGTTCACATGTCATAAGAGCACTGGAACCAAATCATTAAGCGTGAGCTATCCTGCGTCCTAGCTAGGAGCTTCCTATTGCTAGTAGCGTACTCCTCCCTTACTTAATCAAGTCGTCACCCTTACTCAATTAAGTAGGGAGGCCGGGCCTCCGGTCAAAAAAGCATTCTTTTTCGACATTTGTTGAGGTACGACGCCTCACGTCGAGTGGGTGTCGAGCTCCCTTGGCATCCCATGGAGGACCGAGAGCTCGAGCCAGCCGAGGCCCGTATCCCATATGCAACACTTATTTTTAGCGTCGCTAGCGTCTGGATATATAATGATACATATACGACATATATATATATATATGTATATATACACCTTATTTTCCACAATCAAGCAGCCGGATCCATCTCTGCTCCAGGCCAGCTGCAAGAATGAAGCTAATATGCCTTGGCACACAGGCATACATGATCACACATGTGATTGTGATTAAACCAGCCTACAAACCCTTGACAAAGATTTTTTAGCGTGCAGCAGTTTTAGAAGCCACAGCAAGGCCACTTCGCTTGTACTGAACTCTCCTCAGCTCCAGTGATGCACTGCCCCAGACCCAGATCCTGCAATCAGGTCTCATTGTAAGAGCCCTTTGAAAGACATAGCAGCTTCTAGCCTTTGACAGCCTCCTATGGTTTGCCTCTCATTGTAAGAGCCTGTTGGGCACCTCGTTGGGCACTCTTGGACACTCGCATTCACTCGCGAAAACGATGCTCTCCATGCAGCTGAAAGTGAGCCATGTGCTGCGCTGGGCACAATGGGCGTCCAAGAAGCTGGGCTGGCGACTTTGGGCACCTAGGCGTGGTGTCAGTGACCAATGGCCAAGGCAGTCAACAGCATCCGGATGTATTAGTGCATTTATGCTTTGCTAGGCCCTTGCCAACCTAGTACCTGTCCCCACTCCTGTCCCTTAGAAGGTAAATGTTTGACCCTAAATGACCTTAACGTTGGTAGTATGTTAGAATACCTTTTGCTTGCAACCTCCACCACTCAAGCTGTTTTTGGCTGGCACAAGTACGTACGTGCATATTATGGGATTGGAGGAGTAAGACGGCTAGCGGCTAGAGCATCCAAAATTGATGATTTGGTTTGAAGCTGAATTTTGAACAGCCTGCACATGTCAAATGCCCTCTGACGGTTTTGGTTCATAGTTCTTTACAAGTGAAGCCTTTGGTGATACAGATTCTTGACCCACACCAGCCCTTTTTTCCTTCAAAGAAGTTGCGAAGAGACAGCAGCAGTTGAGCATCCAAGGTCCTTGTGATTGCTTGGATTGCACATTATCTTCATGGCAACTCAGCTTAACGCCCCTGGTTGCAGACACTGATTCCTGAACTCCCGATCAGAGCCAGTGGGCAGCGGTTGAGGGGTAGCACGCTGCGAGTTGCCATTTTTCCCCTAGGTGTAGACCTTTATACTGTATAAGAGGAAGCATTGATGCACTTGGCTGCATTTGGTATTATGTGGAGAGAGGTTCCTTCGAACATGAATCCCCCAGCAAAGTGTTGCCTTAGGGCCTTGTATATAGATGGCCACTCAAACCACTGGATCATTCCTTCAACTGCTGAACAAATTCAGGTGTGAGACGGGTACAGCTGCACCTGGCAAACACCAGCAGCTCAGACACCGCGCGGAAGGCAATGGCCATCACTTCATGTTGTTGAATCAACAATTGAGCTACTGTAAGAGGTGAGAGAAGTGGCACACGCAGTACTTCTAGGAAGCAATGACATGTGATACAATTGGTGTAGATACTGTAACTTGTTTTGTGTACATGGCATTCTTTCTGCGGCTGACACTTATTGACAGCTTTGTTTCCTGTAAAGCTACTAATTATACCACCATCAGATCATCATCATCAACAACATCATCATCAATATCAATATCATCCACACTCAATACGGAATTTCATTTTGACATGATTTGCGCACGACAAGTTGTAGCACGACAACTCCAGCTGTCTCCCTGCTCAGCGCATGCAGCGCATCATCCAGCAGTGCCCGTCTTTGCACATGATGCCTCTTGGGCCGACACAGCTGGGTCCATAGAAGCTACTAGGAGCAAGGGCATCGCTACTAGTAGCAAAGGGCATCACTAGGAGCAAGGACGCTACTAGGAGCAAGGGCATCGCCGCCAGTAACAATGGGCATTAGATACTCAGATACTCTGTTTTAGCAAGTACATTGGCTTAAAGGCAGTTAGAGCTGTAAGATCTGCAAGAGTTGTAGGACCTTGTAGGAGGTAGCTCAGCAGTACGCAACAGATGATGCTAGTACGCAAAGAGGCTGCAGGAGAGATCAGGTTCTTCAAGAAAGCTTCTCCTTTTCATGGCTGCGCGGGATTGAAACGGAGATCCTGACGGAACTTCAGAAAATGGGAGACGACTGGAAGGCTGAGTGAGACAGAACCTGCAGTGAAAGGTTCGGGAGGGTCCGGTGGAGGGGTCTTCGCGTGGGTTTGAAGGTATTGGCCGACCTGGTATGCCCACACTGCATTGCAGCAACTCATTGTACTGGGCATCAAGGAGATTCGCAGTGCATTTCAATGGTCTGCTTATGAACGACAGAGCCTTGCCTCACCGAAGATCACGTGAGATCACGGAGAGCGTTCTGCGGTTCCAAGGTCCCATCGTTGTGGCTTGTCGATTGGACTGCCAATGAAGAAGAACTGAGTCTGGAGTATCATCATGTATCAATCATAAAGCATCATAAAGCATTGTCAGGTACAAGCCAAGAAGATCCAAGAAGGGTGCTTGATTTGGGAGTTTGGCCAAGGATTCTGACGCTCAAAGACACTGCGCGCATAGCTGTGGATTGGGTGGTGCCAAAGCCGGAAGACGCAGCCAAACCGCATCGAGGGATTCGGGAACCACTGAACATGCACATGCAAGAGAACCAGAGTGGGACCACAAACACCAGAGTGCTTGCCACGCTGATGGGGCGGAGTTCGTCATATCCCATCTTTCCCGCTGCCAAGGCTTTGCCCAATGGCCCAGTTTGCGTGTTGCTGCACGGTGCCATCCAGGTTGGGATCTGATTCCATGTCCAGAGCAGCAGCTTCGATTTGTTTCATCACCTGACAACAGCCTTGTTATTCATCGGAACTTGTTTTCATCAATGCAACAGATCAATAAACCTGAAGTGATCAAAAACCGTGAGCAGGACAGTCGAAGTGCCACGATGAAGGACATGGCCAAAGACTTGGCCAAGCGGGGCTTGCTGACCTTGTCGCTTGGACGGATGGCGCTGGTTTCGAAACACTGAAGCTCAAGAAAGCAAGAGAAGCAGATCAAAAACCATTAGGCAGCACGATGGACTATTTGATAGAATGGCGTAGGAGACTATATAACTATATAATGTCATGAAAGGTAGCTTGAGCTACCTGAGTTCTCCTTGCTTTAGCAAAAATGTATTACAATCAGGAGTTGGGATTGTGCATTGAATTTGGTCCTGTAAGAGTTGATTCTGTTCGTCGGGGGGGGGGCCCCCCCCCCTGGATCAAATCCCCCCTGTGCCGGTTCACGCCGTCGTGGACTTCTACCAGGGTTACTTGTGATTGCCTGCTACCTTTCGTTCACCCCCTCCTCTCTCAAGTCCATAATTTATAACATGTTCATACATGTTCTAACAAATTGGTAGGCATGCAAGGTTTGACAAGTTGTCATGAGTTCAGCTGGGCTTGCCCCTATGGGTACTGTACGGCTGCAAGAGTCGACTACAGTCTGATCATCCATATCTAAGAACCTTACTCAGACGGAAAACACATGCGGAAATGTGAACGTTACCAAGTGGTTTGGCATGTTTTGGCACAAAAGCAGAGGGCCATGGGCTTTTCAGAGCACCCTCCCAGGGTCATGAACCGCCGTGGCTACGGAGATCTGGCCATGGATGCAGAGTCTGCACGGGTGACTGTCTTCGGCTTCGATGAGGTGTCCAGGCCAAACACATCATTCGTATGAAACATGCACACACTTTATAACATGTATATCATTTCTTCATCACCCCTTCATATTCCGTTAAAAGGATCAAATTTCTGAGCTTGGTGCGGACTGAATTTCCTCTTGCATGCTTTGCAGTCTCAAGTCACACGGTTTCACCAAATGGCGATGTCCGAGGATTTGGATGAGGTGCTCCTCATGGTCGGACAAGTGGCCCCCAACCGGCCCATTGCGGTGGTGGGCTTTTCGTGTGGCTCAGGCTTTGCTGGGAGGTATGGAGCCTTGCGCTCCCACTTGTCCGCGTGGAAGGATGAGCCTTGGAGAACTAGTGAGAAATGGGTGAGAGGATTTAAGAGGATCATAGATTTCTTTTCCTCCGAGACAGATTTGAGATGATGTTTTCAGGTAAAGAAATGAGCATCAAAAGTAAAATTGTCCTATACTTTGAGCTGCTGAAAAATGGATGTCGTCATGATGTTGTCAGTTTTGTGGATTGACCTCGACGTGTGAATCAGAGAGGTGATCGGAACAGTCCAGGTGAATTTCTTTCAATTGCTTTCCATGTCCTGTCGTTCACATTTTGCAAGGACAACGGACTCTCAAAGACCGTTCCACGGTTGCTTTGCGTGGTCCACACCTGAGAAGAGGACTGTTCCGAACCTGCCTGCCCCATGCGCTTGTTTGCATGTGTGCATTGGCCGTGCTTAATGTTGCTTAGGTTGCTTATGATCCTGGCTATGATGTTGTCAAGGCCATGCAAAAGGTCCCAAGGCCTTACCGTTGGGTCAGGAGCTCAGACCCAAGTAGCGTCCTTGCTCCTAGTAGCGATGCCAGGAGCCCCTAGTAGCTTCTTGCTCCTAGTAGTAAGGCCAGGAGCCCCTAGTAGCGTCCTTGCTTCAGACCCAAAATCTAGAAACCAATGAATCATGAGTGAGAGCATGTATTCAAGGAAGCTCCCCGATCCCTCAGGCTGGGGAAGCTTCCTTGAAGAAGCGTGAGCTATCCTGCGTCCTCCCTAGAAGCTAACTTAGCCTAGCTTACCTCCTTACTTAATAAAATAGGCGCTTACTTGATGAAGTACTGGTAGCCCTTATCGATGGCGATACTGAGGGCTTGGACTTGGCCTTCCGCTACCAGTACGTCTATCGACACCGAGAGACCTGGAATCAGAAGTCACCCTCCAGTGCCGAGGTGGTGAAGGTGGGGAAAGGGAGGAGAGGAAGGAGAGGGCCAAACACATCGTCATTCGAGGTCGTATTGAAGATGGCTTGATGCACTTCCTAAAACGAACATACACTCCCCAGAACTTACGAGGAAGTAAATCTCGGCGAGGACGCTGCTTACGAGGAAGTTGCCGACCATGTAAATTCCCCGGAAATAGACCAGCAGCAGGTAAGCCCAATCAACAAACGAGGAAGACTGAAAAAAAAATATTGTATTCATTAACGAGGAAGCTGACCTTCCCTGCATCCCTGGGGATCCGAGAAAAAATCGAGAGAAAACTTATTCCTTGTAAGTTCTGGAGAGAGTAAAGGAATCAAACCAGCTCTAGACTTGGGTTCGAATTGTCGCATTTGACGGGCACACTTTGAGCGTTTGTTGGGAATCAGTCTGATGTTTATTTGCTTGTTGCCATGGCCAGTTGGCGCTGGATCCCGGGCGTGGCTTCAACGAAGTCTACCGGAACGTCACCAAGCTTGCAGGCCCGATAATCAAGCTCTTGTGTTAGGTGATTTGGTCCAGGTGCACGCATCACAAAGGTGAGTCACAGTTCTGACAAGTGACAAGGTTTTGCTAGCCATTAGGTTGGAGGCCATTGCTATTGGGTTGGAGACCATCGCTAGGAGGACATCGCTATTAGGTTGGAGGCCATCGCTATATTCGGTTGGAGGCCATCGCTATATTAGG